ATATGGAAATTAACAACAACAACATAAAAAAACGAAATTCGCTAATAATAATTAATAATAATAAAGAAAAACGTGTTTCGTTTTTGATAGCATTTCTGCTGTGTTGGACTATGATGTCGCCACTGCATTAAAATATTTCTCAAACGGCAGTGCCCCCCCGCCGATGACCCAATGCCCCTCCAGTAGATCTGCTCTGGCGCCGACTCTGGTGTTCATTGTAGTGAGCCACTTCATTTGGATCCTTTAATTCATAGACAATAACAGAATTCAAACTTGGAGAAATCGTGTCTTTAGCAGATTATTTCCCCTTAGATCAAGTGGTTTTATTTCCAGTTTAATGTCAGTTGCTATTGAGGGGCTTTTTAAATGTGTTTGCTTTAGCAGATGAACAACAGGAGGCAGGGGAAGAACGTCCCCCACTAAAACAAACAGCACTGTTTTAGCATAACTCATTATCAACCACTATGATGCCCTCCAGTGCTACACACAGCCACACATACAGCAGCACTAAAGAGTCTTATTTATTTTGTATTCCTATTTATGAAAGGAGAAGTGTAATTTGGTGTATGTATTATGCATAGTGTTATGAATTCATCTTGACTGCCTGTTTGTCTGACTCCAGTTTTCCTTTAGGCTGCTGGAGGTTGTATTGGACATTTTCTGATGCTGCGAGCCAGAAGAATGAGCAATTATCTCTCTTGTATTACTCTGACTTCACTGGTGCAAACATAAGTGCAACCAAATATACAACACAGACTGTCTGAAACAGGCAAAAAGCGCATTTATGAAGACAGCCAAGGCTGCAATTACACTTGTCATGCTAAAATTTGTTGTGACTTGTTTTTTTTTATGTTTCCATATCTGAACATGAATATTGTAATTATATGATTTCAAAGTAATGCACTGCACTTCACTGAAATGTTAATTTTCTCCCTGAAATAATTTTTAAATCCTAAAAGCAGAGTTGGTAATGATAAAAGCTTTACTGACTGGACATGTTTTTTGATTTCACTTTAAACATTATGTATTTCATACAAAACAAAGAAAATACAATGAAGCCACAAGCAGCTGTAAGTGGTATTCCACAGCTCAGATGATTTGAAAGTCCGACCGCCAGTGGTACCAGGTACAGTAAGTTGTAAATATACAAGTTGCACAAACTTAATACTGTCTGTTGTTCAGTTAACTTAGAAATGTTTATTACAAATCCATAAATTAGTTTTCTTTGATTTCAGTTTGACCAACTTCTTAAAATAAGTTAACAACTGATTAAAACATGTACATGTAACAAACTTAACAAAGTTGCACTGGCCCATTTCAGGCACTGCTAGCATGCTAATACACAAAACTGAGGAAAATGATAAGCAATATACAGATATCAAACCACAACTTCTCTTTTCCTGTTCTTATCACCTGACAGCTCAGTAGCTGTGATAACATTCCAACAGCAAATGGAACATTCTACAAATATCTCTGTTATCATTTATAAATATATAATATTAAAAGTAAAATATATTTATCTAGCACCTATCAAAACTAATATAGAAGGAGACCAAAAGAACAAACTAAGAGAGAAAGTAAATGAAAGAAAATAAAAGTACACAGATGGGACTGTATACACAGTAGTTCATTAAATTATTTTTAGGAAAATACCAAAAACCTGTTTTCAAGCTTTTTTTCTTTAATTTACAGATATTTTTAGTTCTCTTAGGCACCCACTGTACATGAGTGCAGCTGTACTGGAGGCACTGGATCACACTGAAAGTGTTATATGCAATGCCCCTATCACAGAAAACTGTAAGTGCAAGTGTCAGTTTTACATTTTTCTAATGTAAGATGAGGACATGCTGTGAGTCTGTCAGCCATATTGAAAAAATGAAGAGGAATCTGATCAACTTAACTGAGGAGTGTTTTAATCCTGAATGGAGATGAGATGACAAGCTATAGATCATTTCTGCCTGTGAGAAGTCTGATGTCTGGATTTAAACGTTTGATGTGCTTAATTACTTTTCCTCTTCCATAATCATTAAATTAAACTTACACTGTATCCTGACAGCAGTACATGAGACAGATAATCTGTGAAAAAAAACAGGTTCCTCTGGCTCCTCCTAGTGCCTCTAATGGCATTTGCAAGAATGATCGCCTGAGTGAAAATAACCAATCAGAGCCAAAGAGCAGTTGTATTGGACTACAGTAGATCATACCTAATAAAGTAAATACTGAGTGTATGTTTAAGGTTTTATTACTACACACAAAAATATCCTAAACAACTGAAAAACAGCAATGTGTCTTCAGTTTTAATTTTCTAGACAAATGCACTTCCACAATGAAGGCTGCAGGAGTTAATATGTATATTTGTTTAGCAGCTCAGAGCTCTGACTGACGCTATACAGCTCTTTATTTGGAATACTATATTAACATGCATATTTCATCCTTTCTTGTTGTTGATGGTAGGGCTGCACAATTAATCGCAATATTATCACAATATGGCCATGTCTAATATGCAAATCCACACGATTTTTTGAGTCCAATGTGACAAACAGCAGTATAATGATGTACTGTGTTCTACAAATCTTTTTCTCCAGATGTAAAACATGTTTTTTGATACAGACCCCCCAAAATTCCACATGATCATTATTTATTTAATAATTTGTTCAATGAATATTAAATTTGTGATGCAAAAATGATCACTCCCACTAATGGTGAACCATATCACAATATCTGCCAAAAATAATCGCAATGGTGATTTTACCATATCGTGCAGCCCTAGTTCATGGCCTTTACTAACTCAGGAGGGGCAGTTGTGATATCACGTGAAACATGCATTTGTTTTAAACACTAACCGTGTCCATATCTGTCATTTTGCACTTTTTGCTCGGCCACACACACTCCACTCACTGAGTGAACACTGTGTTCAACCAATCACATGTGCTGACAGGCAGAGGTCATACCATCAGGTTGAAATCAGGCGGTATGCAGTTCTGAAAGACTTTAGTCGCCCCTGTTGTTTTCACTTTGATTCATACATTTCATAGTTCAATCAGCCCATCGGAAGGCCCCCAAATGAAGATATTTGAACTCAACAACATTATTGTGGTACATTAGTAAAGCAGTAAATAAGACAGATATAATAGATACCTATTACAAATCAATTAATTGTTCAAATGTGGCCATGATCAATCAGTTAATTGCTATTTTTAAAACATTTCTGGGGAGCAAACAGGGAGCAAAACAAAATTTTCTCTAATTTCGAAATTACTGTTTAATAAAAAATATTCAAATAATTCCTCCTTGAAGAAAAAAACCAGACAGCGTGTTTTTAATGTTTCATTTGTATTTTAATGTATACTCGTTGTCCTTTGAAGTCTTATTTTCGCAAAATAAAATACCATAAATTGGGCATATTCTTCTGTGCTGAACTGCGCTCTGCCTCCACACGTTCCCCTGCTGCGGGCTGAGCGCACTCAATCATGTTACAACGGAAAGAAATACCAGATTTACAACATTTAATATCCATAAAAATGCCACATATAACATTATGATATATTCAGACATGTCAGTCAATGCACCGGCCGGCCGTCACGTCCCCCGGCGTGCGTAACAATACAAAAACTTAAATTAAATATAAATAGCGGACACAGAATCAATAATAAAATATGTACAACTGTGCAACATGGCAACACGTTTTCATCACACCACCAGCATGTCGTCGAGTCCACATCACTTTCCACTATGTGTGCACACACGTACGTGGCCGTGTCAGGTGGCTTTTTTTACTATCAGCTGTCCGAGTCCACCTCGCTTTTACTCTCCTCGGTTTTCTCCGCGGACGTTTTGGTGGATTTGTTCCATTTCTGAGAGTTCTCTGATTCCTCTGATGAAGACCTTTTCTGCCTCCTCCACTTCGCGCGTCTGTTTTTGAACCAAACCTACATGATAAAGAAGCACAGTTTTAATGTCTATGGCTAAGGGGTTCTTTCCTTTTCCTTTCTTTCCCTGTTTAACCACAGTGTTCCCGGTAGGACCGAACACATCCTGACACTTCATCTGTCAGCGGCCTCGCTCGCCTCAGTTAATACAGGAACATGTTTGTCGCATCAGGTCTGGAATGAATCCTCTGCCACTGAACAGCGCTCTGACATTTTTCACACACATTATTTATAAGCTCTATGGGTTTATTTTGTATCCCTAAAACGTGCCTTTAAAGTCGGAACAACTCAGGTATCATGAACATATTGCAAACACACATCAGTACAATGATACGTTGATTATAATGTTTTCTTTAATTGTGTGTAAGTGATTCTGACTGCTACAGCAGTGGAAAAACTGTGAGGACCGGTGTGTTCATGTGTGTGATCATTTAATTCGCTTTCTCCCACATTTGATTTATTGGGGCCAAAATCTCACATTTGAGCCAAAGCGTTTTACAGTGCGTCATTGTCTTATTTTAGAGTTAATTTATTTTTGTTTTATTTTAAATAATAATATTTAAAAAAAATTATCTATCTGCAAAAAGCCTCGTTGGTTGGGCTTTAATTTAAAACCCTGGCGCTAAAATAATGCCAAACGTCACGGCAACCCCCAACATTGAGCTGAATTTAGTTACTTCATTATTATTATTGTTATTATTATTATTATTTAGTTGAGTCATGTCCAGGGTGTTTTTCTATAGAAAATGACTTACTTTTTCATTCACATCGACAAATGCCCCCACATATATTTTACACGAATACACAAATAAAATAAATTAATAAAAAGCTACGACTACAAAACTCAATGGGTAATACTCGAAAATGTATGGATGATAATAATAATAATAATAATAATAATAATAATAACAACAACAACAACAAAACCAGATGTCCTTGTGCCATCGCATTATGATAATGTATAAAAAGTATACGGTATATAAAAAGGTGTATAATGGCTTTATTACTGTACTAAACCTGCAATTACAATCAACTAAACTAAACTGTAAAATGTTGTCCTGCCTGTTTTGAATGGTTTCAAAAAAGCTGCACTGACCTCGACCTTCTCCTCCCGTAGGTGGACCTTGCGGGCCAGCTGCTCCCGGGTACCGACGTCCGGGTACTTGGTCTCCTGGAAGAGGCCCTCCAGAGCCTCCAGCTGCTCGTCGGTGAAGATGGTGCGGTGCCTCCGCTTCCTGCGGCAGTGCAGCTGGTTGAGGAGCTGCAGCTCGGTCCGCGACAGGCTGCCCATGTTCATGTAGGACATCATCTGGTGCGGGACCGGAGAGATCAGCACCGAGCCCGGGCTGTCGTAGCCTGCCACGGCGAAGGAGGAACGGAGAAACAAAACAGTTGGAACAATCAAACTGCCACAGAGCGTACACACACATAACAGTGCTAATGAGTACTGAGGCTAATTGGAAACTCTGGCCTCGGTTGTGTAAATGCAGATTACAGCTGAGGCGTAAAACTGCGGAAATATGAAAGGCTGGGGTATCTTTTGATGCACGTGAATGTTTTAATCCATGCATAAAAAATAAACTCAAACAGTCTTTACTTTTGTTTGTACAAACATATTAAGTTCATGCGTAAAGCAACAAAACGGCTCAACGGCTTTTATCCTGGACACTAGACCTGCAACAGCACCGGGGTCAGTCATCACACGAACAAGACATCACACATGGATCTGACATCAGATGTGAGTATTTTTGAGTGTTTGGGAAAGGTTTGTCTGCGTAAATTTGCAGATTTTAGTTCGTGCATAAAATAACGCGCAAATAGGTTGTTTTACGCTCGAGATTAAAAAGAATATTTTATCTTTGCGCAAGGATAGTTGCTTTGGAAACACATATTTAAAGGCAACAAAACATCAAGCATGATACAGACGAACTTAAGTAAGAGTTAGTTCTTTAAATTAAGTATTATCTTCCGATTTTGGGATCAAAAAGAGGCATGGTGCGACGAATAAAGCGCTTATAATTTCGCAAAAATTTTCGTCAATGTTACTCAGAAAAGTAGTAGAACAACGGTCAATGTTGCATTTGAATCATATAAAAACAAAATTAAGTCAGATTTGATTTATTGACTGACTCCTAAATTTAAGTTGCTAACACGGCCAAGAGAACGGGAGTTTGGTAGTGGTCCTACCTGCCGGGATGCAGGGGCACTGCTGCGGGGTGAGGCCGGGCACCGAGCTGCAACACGGCGGACCTCCTCCGGCGCCCTGAACGTGCAGCTGTCCGTAGTAGTAGCCGTTATATCCTATCCTGGTCCCGTTCACAGACTGAATCCCGGATGGAGAAGGTCCGCAAGTGGCCGAGTACAGTCCGTTGTAGTCGGTGTAGATAGAGTCCGTGAGGCCGGCGGAGAGCACCACCGGGCCGCTCCGGTGCAGCAGCAGCGGCTCCTTGCAGCTTGGCCGGCCGGACAGGATGCTGTCTATGCTGAACATCCCGGCGGGCATCACACCGGTGCGCGGCTGCTCGTTAAAACGGGAACTCTGGAGAGTCAAAATTGCTCGGTGAAATAAAACGTCCCGGACTGAAAGATTTCCGTGGGAGAGAAAACAAAAGTTCTCCTAAAAGTGCGTCATGGTGACTCTGGAGGCGACTTTTCTTCTCCTGCGTGCAGCGACTCCGCGAGCTCGTCTCGGGGACTGGTGGTTTTAATGGGACCAGTTGAGAGCAGGGCCGGTTTTATAGCCCGCTGACGTCACTGCGGAGCTGCTGCTCTGAGATCAGCTAGCGGCGTGAACGGCCACCGATCTGTGTATTGAGAATTAATTCAATTAAGATAATCCGCACTGTTTGCAGACTTTAGGAAATTTTGCTGCTGGGTCACACAGGCTCTTCCTACAGAGTAATCCGATTATTTCCTTGTCAGTGAAGGCATCATAATCTATGGAACACATTTACATCAGTGTTTACAGGGAGGGGGCGGATAGGGCCAGTTTCCATCAGCGCGTAAAGTCAAAAAGTTAAAAACAACACCAAAAATAAGGATTTTATCACCAAGTTCATAATCTGTCAATCATATTTAAAAAGTGGTGTTGCAGGAATATCTGCTTTTGAATTGTTGTCGGTGCATAAAGAGGAAAACAATTTGTTGTTTGTAATTATAACACACCATTCAGTCCTAGCGCGCAGTAATTGTGGTTTAATAAATTATGTCAAATTAAATGTTATTATTAATTTGCCAGTTTTAAATCGCCAGCCAATTTCAGGCCTAAACCAAACTCAATACAAAAAAATGTAGCATTTTAGATCATTTATAGTAAGGACATATATTTGGCTTATTTGATTCCAGGCCAAACTTGGGTCTATGCGTTATTTTAATTATTAGGCTATTAATTTAGCGTTGTAAGCAGCTGTTAAGCATAAAGGATTATTAGTCAACTTGTAGATTAATACGGGCAAAGATGTGGTAAAGGTGCTGTGAAACTGTGCAGGTCTCTCTCCTTTCCCACATGAGTAAATAACTATTAACCATATTTCCATGTCAGACAGGAGCCTCTGAGCATTATATCTGGGCTTCATCTCATCATCCACCCTCCGCTCCGCTTCTCCGCGGGGAGCAGATCAGCGCGTTTCCTCCCCCCGGGCAGCAGCTCCTCTGTCCCCGTGTCAACAACGCCGAACATTTCCCTCCTGACCGGGATAAGATAACGGCCCATTATCGCCTCCATTCAAGCCTTATTGCATATTTACACCGCTAATCAACACGGGCTGAGTGGCGCTGGTGGCTGTGCAGGAACGTGGATTCCCAGTTCAGACCTTAATGGGTCTCGTTGATTGCATTTAGCACTCAATGGGGTCTTAACACATGCTCACGTCAGGCTGACAGATAAGTTTGTGATTTGAAAATGCGCCGTTTAGATGTGCAGAGTGATTAGCGCGGAGTCAGGGCTGTTTGGAACTTATTGTCCTCCACTAATGCGCTAAAACAACCGATTTCAATCATCTGTAAAGAAGAATTCCACAGACTCATTTCCCCCGCTCGGACTTATATCACTATATTAAATGATGGATAGAAACATATTTGTTCTGTATAAACGGCTATCAGACACTGCTGAAAACAAATCATATTTTTTTGAGAAAAGAAAGATTTAAAATTTTCCCTGCTTAGTATTTTGTTATAATAGGGTATATATTATTTGTTATTTCTGGGAAACGTTAAGACTTTATTCATTATAGCATGAATAATATTTCTTGGGTGGAGAACAAAATAAAACGTAAGCAAAAAATCGATGAGCACCATCAAGAGATTTTTTTAGATGCTTCAGAGGAATAATGTGCCATAAAAATCTACATTTCTGCGCATTTTTTAGGCGCAAACGAGTCACATGCACATTAATCTGAATTAGAATCTACACACGAACCCATGTTTCTTTATGTAATTATTCCGTTTTTTTAAGTCGCTTTATGAACCTTCAGGAATTCACTTTCTGATTTTGCACTCTGTATGGAAGCTCAGGCAGCTGCTGCTTTCGGTCGGGAAACATTTTCGGCACTGCAGTCTGTCTCTGTGTATGAATGAATGGTTACAGGTCTTTTTTTTACATCCTACTCCACATGAAAATCGCTGTCTGTATTATCACAAATAGCAAGTGTGGATCAATCTTGCTTTAAGAAATATATCATATCTAATCGTATAAGGAGCAGGAATCTGAGTTTAGTTGTGTGTTGACTGTATCAGTGGTTCCAAACGTGCCTCCACAGCCCTGTCACATGAACTCAAGCAGCCCTTCATCAAAACCTGTTCCAAATGTGTTCATTTCAATAGATTTTATGGATGTTATTGACTATAAAAGTAAATATAAGAGTATTTTTCATATGGTTAAACTGTCAGTGTTTTGGTTTGTTTGTATTCATACTTAAGCTGGATTTTTCAACCATTTATCCATTACTATTGGCTGTTTTAATCTCATACTTTTAGTTATTTCGACCATTAATCCATTTTTTGATGCTTTTTTGAATCATTTATCAATTGCTAACCTTTTTGGTAATTTATTCATTGCTTTTTGCTATTTTGACCATTTATCCATTAATTTATCGAACTATTTAGACTTCTCTGCTTGCTTGCTAAATAGTTATCATACACTCTCAATTTGATTTAATATATAGATATATATTTTTGAAAATAAATTGTAATTTCTATTCTACCACATTTTACTTCAAGTACCCTCTGGCAGCTGTTTGGAAATCACTGCTGAAACACATCTGCTGTTTAAACCTATTTGGTGGGCCCATTCTCTACCCCACTGCCCTCACTATCAGCAGGAAAATACCTGAATCACTTGATCAGGCTCCTTTAACCCTGTTAGACCATAAAATGTACCTGTGTCCATTATTACCTGTGAGTATTAGAGCAACAACATTGACACAACACAGTGCCCAACATTGCCTTGGGGCAACAACTGGAAAATGTGAATGTAGCAATTCATATAAAAATAAAATTAGTTTTTAAAATGTCAATTATACTTCTTTGGAGTATCATGTACATGCTTGTAGTTTTCTTTCCCCAAATTCCCAATTAAAAATGCACTCACTTTACAGCACTTACAGCTCTTTATTTGATTCACAAAAACATGTAATTACATACAATGTTATAATATTAATAAATGTGGGTAGTGAGGGTCAAAAATACTTTCTCATATGCATGGGGTGTGCAGCCCCTCTAGATCCATCCCTGGACATTCTCAAGGCAACAATATTCAGTAGAGGATTAATGCTTCTTTAAATTGTGTAATTCAGTGCCTTGGCTTTATTTTCTCTTAAGCTTAAAGAATAAATTCTTTCCCCTCTTCATCTCTTATACGGGCAGAGTGCAGAGTAGTGCTCAAGAGCTGCTTACTGTGAACTCAGCAGTTTAGTTTAGGTTATTCTATACACATCTCCACTGACACTGAAATCAAAGCAGGATTTTAAGGTTTAAAATTAGATTTAAATTTGATTCCACATCAGAGAATAATTTACAGGTAGATAAATTGTAAAGGTTTTATTTTGTGTGTGAAAGCACACGAGGATGAGATTTCACTCCTCTCCTGCATGCATGAATCTGACAGAAGCCCTGCTCGTTGGTCCCTTTTGATATGGAAACATGCTCCCCTTCCTGAAAAGCCTTTTCTGTAATACAGTCACACTGTGATTCCAGCCCAGTGAAGAGTGGGAGAGAGGAAAAAAACAAGGCCATATGCTGTTATTATTTTCACATTTATTTCTATATTTCTACTTCCAAGTGGCAGTGAAAGGGCAGAGTCAAAAGGGATTGCTATAAAGCGCAACATCCATTTGAAAATAAAAGCTGAGGAAAAGTGGCGCAAAGGCAGCACTTATAGGTGAATGGAAGCGTCAATCAAGCCGCAGATGGAGGTTGAAGACTCACAAAGCTACAATAGCAGATGCATCTTTATATATCAGAGCCCTGATCTGTAAAACCTGGTTAAATATGGCAAATAAAACAGGGACACTTGGTAATGCATCCTTCCAAGAGGGGATAAATACATGGTGGGGGCTGTCCAGGCTTTTACACTGTTGCCTTTTACATCTGACTGCAGGAGAAAGTAGCATCTGCATAATTTACATAATCATCCCTCCAGATAGATAGATAGATAATTTATTTTCATATGACCTTTTTTGAACCCATCATCAGAATCTAGTTGAGTGCTGTCACTCTGCCTCTTAATGCTGCATTAAGGCATTAGTTTCCTACAAATTAAGTGCTCGTCAGATCAATGCATCTTTCCAGCGTTGGGATTGTTGGGGACGGCAACTTTTGCAACTCTTCTTAAATCTGGCAGTTCAGGGGAAAAAATCTAAAAAATCTAGTTTTACTTTAATTTAGTGTATGTAGAGGTCTGGCAGACTCACAACAGTAGCAACAAGAACCAATGAGCTAGTTAGGTCTTTATGCTTACAATTTAATGTCCCCTTCCAGTCAAATACATGTTTTTTTTGTTCCTACAGTGTGCTGTTTGAATGATGTGTGTGCAGTTTAACACTAGAAGGATTTTTTCACATTCATCTGCTAAAAGTGGAAAGTTTCTCTTGTCACTGAAAATCTGATTTTAAAGCTGCAGTAAATAACTTTTTGTCACATTCACTGAAACTGTCTCTATATCCTGACAGTAGAACATGAGACAGATAATCTGTAAGGAAAAACAGGTTCCTCTGGTCCCTCCTAGTGCTCCTAATGACATGCAAGAATCAGAATTTGCTTGAACAAAAACAACCAATCAGAGACTAGAAGGTCAGTTGATTATTGAGTGTAATTCTCAGGGCATCAGGGACCCTGGAAATCATACTCAACAATCAACTGTCTTCAAGCTTCCAACCTGAAGCATCTTAATATCTGAAAAAAAACAAAAACATATGAAAATGACTGATTTTTTGGTTGATAGTGGAGGTCATGGTGGACTAGATGTGAAGACTGTTACACTGCCTGTGTATTTGAGGTCTTATAGAAGTTTGTGAGTGAATGTGAGTGAATGTGCGTGAATGTGTGTGATAGACACACACACACAGTTACACATGCAGGCTGGTGCGGTGCCAGACAGGCCAGTGTGTGTGTGCATGTGTGTGTATTTACTTCATGTGTATTTGAAAGGAGA